ATCTGCTCAACATTTGACAACAGCTTATTGCTTTGTTATCGTTAGATGTCGTTTTTCACTAATTCTCGCTAACAAGCAAACAGACACCTGCTCCAAAAAGTTTGCAAGTTAAATTTCTCAGAGTAAATTTTAAATATATTTCGACCAGTGCAAGGCTCTCCGAAGGAGAGGTGAAGCACTGGTCGACATATATAAAACATTAATGTGATATTGTTTGAAGTGATAGTCACAAAGATTTTTTGAACTATAATAGGATTGACCATTATGGCCGCTTAAAGTAAAGGTAAGAGAAAATGAAAAATATGATATATTTCTTAGCCGAAGAGGTGTGTATAAGAACACGTTTAGCCTCACGTTTCGGCTCAACGCCGACCTCAGAGTTTGAGTGAGTCAAATACCTATTAGACGCTTATACCACCGTATGATGGTACGGCATAAGAAAAACATCAAGATCAAATCTAATCATGCCAATGTTTCAAGATAAGAGATCTTATGATGCTTCAAAAGAACAGCCATACGTATTCTCCTGATTCGCGAGGCATGAGCGCTTCGTCGAGGTAATCGTTTCCAACTAATCGCTAACTTTTCTTAAACGATAAAGATCAAACGGCTCGTTTCCGCATTTCATTACGGATGAAAAACTGGGAGCAACATACATCTTGGTTGAAGGCAATGCTAAAGTGCATGGAGTGTACATGCCCACTCTTAGCATAACGATAAAGCTAGCTATGCTAGCCACCTGAAGTGCAATTCAAAAGGAGAGAAACTCGAAGATTACTGTGTGATTCAATGACAGAGCACTGAGTGCGCGTCAAAAATCCGCGACTCTTTACGATCTGATGCCAAAACGGCACTTCGCAAAAGCTCAATATACTCTTGGGGGGTGAACGCGAGCTACATCGATCCAGAGCTGTCCGGGACGATCCATCAAACCACCGGTCTGTTAATTAGCTCTACAATGTAATGAGACGACAGTCACCGTTTTAGGCAATGCTCAAATACCAGTCAACGCTAGAGTTTCTGAACTTCGGACCCTTCTTTGCGCCAGCAGTAAACATCCATGCAAAATTTTCTTGAAAGCAGTAGGATCGTTGCAGCGATTCAAGATCAGCTGAGGGTTGAAATCAGGCATGATTATGGAGCTCACGTTCTGTCCGCTCTTAGTGGACGTTTTCGTCTATTCCTTTTCATTCGTCCTTTTACAAAGAGAACCTTGCCTCAAAGCTGTCAAGTTTCCTGCGCTCACGACAGGAATCTTTAATGAAAACTGTTGTATAAGAAGTCTAATCTGACTTAGGCTTAAAGGCAAGTTTTTGACGAGTTATGTAAGTTGTTTGTGAACGGTAACTTTCTCCTCAGAAAACGAGGGTAACCTTCTTTGCCCGTCCTTTATAATCTCTTGAAAACAGCTCTTTTCAAACTTATGAACCGTGTCCGCTACATCCTGCAAGATGGCCAATACTATTAGTTGTGTGCGGGAACCAGCTTATAGAATATTTTGGTTTATGAATAAGATTGTCAGCTCCTAAGTGAACATTTAGGGAATACGGCAGTGTAATGGCGATGCCAATGTACTGCCCTATGTCGATGATTGCTGCATCACTTCTATCCACAATGAACGAGTTTTAAAATACTGGAACAATAACAGTACATTATTATTATTATAGAGAAACCACGAAAAGGCTGGCTGCCTTATCTCGATAGTCAACTAATGCTGGCTAAGGGAACGGTACACCATATTCCTAACATGTATAGAACGGCAGTCGATGTTTGTGGCGGTAAAAATGAGAGACTAGAGTCCTTGAGAATGGTATCTAATATAGTATCCAACAATAGCTACTTACTGCAATCAAAACTTCAAAGCGAAGATCTATGAACGAAACAACCATATCCGAACTAATATTCTCTTATGTTTGCGTTCATATCCGATAAAATGCTGCTGCAGTTAAATAGTTTCGTGCAAGCCCAATAAAAATGACGTTGTTTAGTGAACATCCCACAACACAGCATCAAAAAACAGCTTGCCCGCAATAAGTTATATGATAAAACTTGCATCTCGCAAAACTGTGTAGTGTCATAATGGGAAACTGGAGGATTGCTCGCCGGAGTAGTCTATCAGCTGGAGAGTGTAGATTGTCATGCTTAAATAGGCGAGACCGGTCGACAACTTTCCGTGCGAAATGAACACCAGGCTACTAAAAGACGACAGAGTTTCAGTTGGGAAAGCACAGAAAGAAGGCCCACAATGGGGACGAAATTGATATTAAATATGTTGGGGAAAAGGACTGATCATCATAGATCAGAAGAGACCCACCCGCCTTCAAAGAGGCGTGTACTTGGGGCGAGGAACAAGCGGGAAAATCAGGGGGCTTAAGACCTAGGTACCAATAGCAGGTTGCAGTGGACATACCTCATTTTCGGATTGTAGATTGCTTTTGTCGTTGACGTGTTGGATTTGAGATGAAGTGATTCTTCACTTCATCGTGTTTCTTTTTTTAGTGGGTGTGTGCCCGCTCGTCTTCCTCCCTAAGCACCGTCTCCGTTGTCTTCTTTCTTCTGCATATTGTCGTTATGTTCTCTGTTGTTTATTCTTTAATAAATAATTCGTGTATGCGTGTTGGTGTGTTCTGTTCAGCCGTTTATCCGGGTCACACCAAGTGAGTCGAGATCGGGTCACACTTTACATAGGGGTCGAGCCGGTTTGACCTGATAGCCAAGGACAGAAGTAAAGTGCCTCCGACATATTAATTGAACGCATCGATTGTCGTATCGCCGTCACACCGTTAGGGTCACATCGTAGTGGCCAACAACCTGGAAATAAAAAAGAAATAGTCAACTCTTCTATTGCAGATATAGGGCGGACATGGAGGAATACACGGACATCGCCAACATTGAGAACATGCAGCCGCAGTCAGAGATAAGGTCTCTGACATCCACGAAAGAGGGGACAGAGTGTATGGAGCAGTTGCGAATGTTGCAAATGAAAGTAATGGAAAGGCTAGGAGAGGCGAGAGTGGGGAAGCAGCTCAAGATAGATATCGAGCACGAGATGAATGGATGCGCTAAAAAGTGAGAAAGATTCAAGCTCTCAAGATGAACATGGATTGCCACGAGGTTTGGCAAACGAAATGATTGCCACTATTACTCGATAATCGGAACATAATTTTAAAGGAAGAGTGGCAAGAAGTGAGAACGATGGAAAAAGATGGAGAGTGTCTGGCAGCGACCTGTGAAATGCTTAACACAGATTCATTGCAGTTGCGAGATGGTGGCCCAGTTGTCCAAAGGATCACTGGGTAAGCTGGAAAGAGGTACTTATTGCGAGAATAAGAGGAATGGGGATAGTGAAAGAATGTTCTCATTGCAGAACCACTTGTCGACTGGAGCGATGTATGCCAAGAGCTCCGCGGATTTCAACAGCGAAGAGCGGGCAGGAAGCCGCAGGTACGGAGGTTTCTCAGATAGTAACGTACCTAGGAGCGCTAGCGTGTTTGGATCTAAGGGTGTACAGAAGAAATAAGAATGAGATTTTTGAAGGATTCTCGAGACAGGAAAGGAAGTACGCGTCGAACATCACTTGATGTGACGCAAGTGGACATCTTGGGTAATGACCATTCGGGAAGTAGAGCCAAGAGTATATTTGCGGCAATGCCAAGAGAGGTGAAGGAGCGTTCAAGGCAGTAACGATGGAGATGGCCAAGCTCTTACAAGGGAATGCTTTTTACTCGAAGTGGCCATTAAAAACAAGACATATTCCATAATAACAAGTTGGGTATGGGAAACTCAAATCTGTCTTCCATATCTGCGAAA